GGCGCGATTTAATTCCCGTCTCCGTTCGCCTCTATAGCCTCAGAGCGCTGGGGCAATTTGTAGCGTGAGTTACAGCGCGTTACAGCGCGTCGAGCGGCGTCATCGCCAAGTCTGAACCCTGCCCTAGCGCCTACCCTCACATTACCCAATCTCTCACAACAGATCGATACTCGTGTGCGACTGCTTTCCCTATAGTATTGGTGCACTGGGAACGCGTCGAGAAATCTGAACGTGGCCAGCTTGGAACACCGTACGAGCCATTCGTGAAGTAGCAGGACGGTATGTGGGTTACGACCCCTCCGGAGAGGATGTCAGTATGACCCCCGCCTTCCCCAGCCACCTTCTACCATTTCCCGCGCATTTTCCAGTCCAGCTTTCGCCCAGAAATTTTTTGTCGAGCGGGGGAGGGAGTGGGAGGGGAGCGGTGGTACACATGAAACAGCAAAAAATTACGTTAAAATTCAACAGCCGCGAAAGTTTTTTTCCCAGCGCTGAAAATTCGTGTGAAAATCACATACGACCCACCAGCCACGAGCCTACAACGACCAAATACGACCCCCTTACCAGCGGAAAGCACGACTCCCCCTATGTGTTTCACACCAACGGGAATTTTGCTGCTACCCTGTTTGAAGTGGGGTAGAATGTCGAGACGGTGGCTTGGGACAATACTCTAACTACGCGCTCCTCAGTAACGCAGACCCGACCGACACCTTGTCTATTCGAGCAGAAATGCGAAGCGAGTGCGGTCGCGACGAGTACCCGTCAGGGCACATCGTTGTTGGGGAATTCCCAACAGAGTGGGGGTCGTATTTGGCCGCCAGGAGAGGGGGTCGTATTTGGGCTGAGAAAAATTTATTTTGATAGTTGATTTTTCTCGCTTCACGGACGTTGTAAAAGGGGGGTCGTACTTGCTCATTGTTGGGAGGGGGAGGGAGTCGTATTTACTTTCTGGACCTTTCTAGGAGTGCTGGGAGCGGTGGTTGACTTTTCGTGATTGTCCTGTTTCATGTGTCTATATACCCACCCCCGCCCCAAACCAATAATGTGCCCTGGTACTCGTGAAATCAATCATTTTGTCGAGCGCGCGTCACGATCGCGCCTCTCCGCGATATGTGGAGCATATTTCACAGAATGAAATAAACCAAGCCAATCTTATTATGTGCACACCTTATTCCTCCGACATTCTTTTCGATTCTTGCAGCACAAGAGATAATGTCCTCGAGCACTTGTTCGAAATACTGATACAGCACCATGTTATCATACTGAGTGACGCTAAGTCGCCGACGCAGACTCTGTCGTGGCGGAGTTGAGTCCTGAAATGTTCATCATTAGTGCGAAAATCTTAACAAAATATGATGGTCATTCTCGTCTAAATGGTGTCACCAACAGTGAGCCTACTTCTACGCTGTGAATGATAGTTCGGGAGTGTGTCAGGAGATCCAAGTTGCGACAACTACAAACTTGGCGCTCGGTTTTATCTGATTGGCTCGGCTCACCGTAGCACTTTCGCTCCGAACCAATTAGGTTCCGGTTTTTCTTGCCGTTTTGAGCGCGTCGCCGCAGTTTGAATCTTCTGATCAGCATCCATAAATGTCCCAGAGGCAGGGTCAATTATGGGACCCCCGTTTATATTAGAGCTAAACAGTTTGAACGCGCTTCCGGTCTTGTTGAATCCCCCTCAAATTGGTGCGTTCTGCGGGAGAAAAGCCGCTGCCTCACAATGTCGACTGATCGTTCTCTGCTTGACCAAATATGCGTCCGTGATCATCAATGCCTCGACAAGAGGCGGTGACGCAAGGGGGGGGGGTGGACAGCGCGCTCCGACTGCGTTTTCTACCAATGGTAATCGCCTAGCATCAGTTAAAAGAAAAACAATCAGTAGTAGAAAACGTCGCGGTTGGGCTAATTCAGTACCCCGTGGCACCGCCCGACTACCTCAGACATGCACGGTCTTATTCGCCACGGTTGATGGGGCGTGTCAAAGTGGAATGGGTTTGGCGCGCTATCAGCCCGTTCTCCACCATTGAGTGGAGACAACTGGTGGAAAGTGACTGATGTGAAATGGTGCAACCTTGTTGCTTGTTGAAAGAAAAAAGTGGAGAAAAACGGGCTAAGGTCGCGCCAAATCCATCTCCCTTGACGCGCCTTATCATCCGTAGCGAACAAGCCTCTACTGTAATTTCTACGAGCGTCGCAACTGTGGTCCTCCTAAACGAGACTCGTGGTTTCTAGCACGTCATTTTAGAAGTGTTCAAAGTGCAAGGGATTGAAATGACAACATCAACAAGGCTATGCACGGAGTAAAAAAAGTGCATAGTCGAGTCAAGCGAGCCTTCCAACATGCTTTGTTCCGCCATTTTGTAATGTATGTGGATGAATCAAAACAGTACTTGACTCGACTACGCTTTAGGATTGGGAGGAACAAAGAATTTGTGCAGTGAATGCGGTTTAATACCAGTTGGAATTGTGTCTCGTCGACTCGACTATACCTGTGCATTCGGTAGTGATGGCGGAATATTTAGTTGATAAGCGTTATTCGCATTAGCACGTGGGATGAGACTCAGTAACGAGACGGCTACGCCTCTTGCTTTATCTTGAAGACCGGTACGTACGTGACCATTCGACAGAAGATGCTCCTGTAGACAGCACTCATTTGGCTCATAAGTTGGGTTGAGGTTAGTAACTATCGAAGATGTACACACATGAACACAAGGTGCTTCCATACTTCGCCGTTCGAGTAGGAAAAAAGCAAAGTGGAAGAAAAACGTGTGCACGAATTATGGGTTGCATTATGATTAATCGTCTTACATTTTACAGTGAAACAGGCGCTTGCAAAGAGTTCCATACCCAGTCCCACGTTCTGACATTGCACGCTGTCAACAAATCAACCAGTCGATCACAGTGGTAGGATCGTGGAAGAGCGGAGGTAGGGGATCTGGGCGGCTGCGATACTCAGAAAAAAACTGCACGTGTGGCGTTTTCTTACTTATATGTACGTGCGTAAGGCGAGGAAAGGGTGTGGTCAGACGAGATTTCTCTCGTTCGTGTCGGATGTCTCCTTATCGTCTCACCACCATTTGAAATGGAGGCAGCTACTAGCGGATCTATCGCACCTACAGGAAGCTTCAAAAATAGAATGGGTGTTGCGATGCCCAGTGAGCCGCTTCGTCGCATGCGGGTCGCGCTATCCTCTCACACATTGAGAACGGTACATTCTCCATGTTTGTGAACAGAAACTAGGACCAAAGAAGGCTTCTGAACATCGAACAGAGTGTGCCTTTAAACTCGAGTGGGAATTCCTCGCACGCAGCGTCATTTGACGCTCAGGTGTGCACCATGGTCCCGACAAACAACCCATTGCGTCTCATCGCTTATACTCGGCGAATATACAACCGTGACACCTTATTCATCGGGTCTAAATAACGGGTACATTGCTGATAGCAAGCGAACGCGTTACGCACGCGACGCGTCAAGTCCGTTACGCTCCAGTAATGCCAATAAGCCGAGAATCATCAGTGGAAAATGGCTGGAGTCGAAATCCAGCCCCCTGACACGCCCCAGCGTTTGCAGTGAAAACGACTGCGATGGTGGACGTGGCGAACAGGCCGTGGCCGACGGACGAGCTGTCTTGCCTACCCATTTCTATCCAGATGTCGACGGGACGGGAGAATATCACCTGTCATAGAGTCACGTCTCTGCTTAGATTCATTTCATTTTTTGCTGTTCCAATCGACGAACTGATGCACATCGAGAAGTTTCCACGCATCGCAGCGTCATATGCCGCGCGCGATAACGTGACAAGTTACGATCATCTCATGCGTCTCCCCTTACCATTGAATAGCGTTGAACATTAAATTCCCATACGAAAAGTATCGGTATCACGGTACAGCAGGGGGACGTGCGAACTGGTAGTGTGAGTACGACCCCCCCCCCCTGCTCTAACAAGGAAAGGATGGTTGGTCGAAGTGGCCATTTAAGACAAGATGCATACACACTGATGCGTCTTCGGACGCTGATTTCAAATCTGCTTTCCATATCTGCTAAACGATTCTCTGAGCAGAGATATGCAGGAGGTTGTTGTACGGAGCACAATTGAGCTTGGTACACAAATGAGACGTGAGTGAGTCGGCGATAGTGCCAGTAACCTTTAGGAATTGGCTGCCTATGGTTACCCCACTGTATCGAAAATAGGTCGAAATCTCAAATTTGGTTGAAAACTTGTCTCTAGGGCTAATTTGAGCCCCAGAGCACGAATATCACACTCGTTCGGCGTAAAAACGCTTGCCAAGGACGTTGCAGGTTCCTGCACACAGAATGCGTACAAGACGCTTTCACAAAATATGTACAAGACGTTTCACGAAATATAACTGCAGTGTTGATTTCCAGGGCACTGAAGCACCTCTAGTTTCAGATTCCAGCCAATTTGGGCAATTTGGAGCACCTCATATACATGCTGGAAATGGGTGTGACCTGGTCAAAAATCCTGCATAACTTTGTCCAGGAAATCGTTTAGCAGATATGGAGGGCAGATTTGTAATCAGCCATTGGCAGTATACGTCTCATTTCGAAGTGGCACTTCGACCAACCATCCTTTCCTTGTAAGTGACAACCATACCAGTGACATGACTACGAAATGGCTTCCTGAAATGGAATGTGGAAGCTCGGTATCATCTATGGGTCTGGTCCGAATGTGCGCCATGGCATCCGAGACCAGAAACTTGATGCGATCCAAAGGACCGACATCATATCGTTTACAGTCCATGCGCAGCAAGTGGCAGATCTTGCGCGGGATTTAATGCGGCACACCCTAATGCAAATTGTGGTGAATTATCTGGGGTACCATTCGTCAGCGATACCGGCCTCCAACCTTGCCTAGCCAGGGCACATCATTGTTGTAGAATAGGGAAGGGGTGTTTGGTCGCTGTCCGCTTACCATTAGTTGACGGTGCTGCTGATTTTTTATTTCTGCAATATTTGCGTCTTTCTATTACATCGATTTGCTAGCTGTGCTCTTCGCCTTGTCGACTTTTTTGAAGTATGGAAACACCAGGAAGTACGGAATAACCAGAGCGACATACCTCTGCTTGTGGATCTTGCAGATGTCTGCGATACTGGCTGAAGCTCCTGAAAATCTTGAGCGCTACGTCTGAAACGATGCTGAATACAACGGAGAAACTAACACACCTTACGAGTCGCCTTCGCTGAACGTCGAAAGATAACCACTGCAGATACCACGGAATGTCGTGTTTCACTCGAACATCCCGCTCCAAAAACACGAACATCGATGTGGTTACGGTTGAAAGACCAATAATAGCCAGGAGAATGAAGTAGTATAGACCTATAAGAGACACATGAGGTGTTTGAAGGAAAGTATGAGTTCTGAAATTTGTTCTGCTCTGCATCTCAATCTGAGATTGGGATTTGTTCTCTCTGGCATACACTACATAGCCGAAGTTTCAAGGGTGAGCGGAGGACCGGTACTTCCACATGTATTTTGTCATTGCAGTCTTGATCGCTGTGGATCCAGGACGTTTTCCACCAGCTTCGCTTTCCTCTCTTCAACTATTCGAAGAGAAAAGGATGGAGCCGCGCCAAACCAATATTGTGGTTCATCCTCGTACATTCAGGCTGGTGCGTCGTTTTTGATATCTCCCGTTTAGGATGCAGAAACTGATTCTCCGGATAGGCTTATCCTTTCACCCTTCCACTTTTGAAAGCTTTTTTCACGATACTTAAATGCATCTGTGGGTTCAAAGTGGGACTGTAAGTGTCAACCGATAACGGTTATAAAAAAGCCGTGGAAATGCCGTAATAAGACCTTTTTTGCGGCTAATTCTGAGCTTAACCCTAGCTCAGAAAACTGGTCTTCGAATGAATGGCGAGTTAACCAGGGAGACGTCAACGCACGCCTTCGAAACTCCATTTCTGGGCGGAGAAACATCCGATCGCATGGCGCCAGGCTCCATTTTTCTCGTTTCCCCGCTCTGATTGTGAGCTGCAAGATGAGCACAACTTTCACAAATACAGACAGGTCCAGCTTACATAGGAGTGACTGTTTTCACTCAGGAGCTCCATATGCTCTCTTTTTTAAATGATATAAAGCAAACTGACCTATTAATGGGATCCCAGAGAAGGATCCACGACCCCTTCTGTTCGCCGACATACTGAATTTTGGCATATCTTCAACGATGGCGAGCAGAATTACAGACATACTCATCAGCGTCATGATACCCAAACGAAACTTGGCGTCTCTGGAAAATCCGCCTTTTTTTCGGAAAACTCAAATTCTCTAATTCAGGTTTCTTGAGTTACATTCACTTGATCATAAACATAGCCTCCAAAGTCGCCCTCTAAGCATTTGAATACATTTACGATCCTGAGCGCAATATGCATGTGTGGTGCATGGATTCATAGCTGCAGTAGCGTGCCATTTCTTATGTTCAAACGCCCATGAGAACGGGACTGAAGGTAATAATGCCTGGGTGCCTTCGAGACGTCAACCAG